TGTGTTATTAGCCAGAAGCACTGTCAATTTCCGCACCACAGCCCTCAGTTTCCCGTTTTGCCATGGTGAGGTGTCTTCTTTCTCTTGGGGCATAAGGGAAAGATTTAAACTAGAGCTGTCAGTCAGGTGACTGTGGTCACAGGTGAGGCACCAGATGAGGTCTTGATCTCTGGACTGGCTTTCCTGCTGCTGGGACAAAATAACTAACACCTGCAGTGGAAAGGGCTAGAGGGTTACGCTGGCTCACATGTTAGAGGTTTCAGGCCACAGTCATGTGGCTCACAGGCAGAGATGGCATGGAGGAAGAGTGTGGCAGGGGGAGGCTGCTCCACCCTCAGTGGACAGAAGTGGGTGTAATGGAAGAAGCAGAGTGAGAAATCCACCCTTCAAACCTTCCTCTTCCAACTGGGGCCCACCTCCTCATAGCCATTCAGGGACGAACACACCTGTGGACTAATCCACCAGTAAGAATGATATCCTCTTGGTTCAATCACCTTCCAAAAGCCTCATCTCAGATGACATGAGCCTTTCAGTGATTATTTTCATCCAAATCATAAAAACATCCTTCACTCGGGAGGATGAAGCAGGAGGTTCATCTTGAGTTGAAGGTCAGCCTGGACTACATAGTGAGTTCGAGGCCAGCTTGAACTATATAGCTATAAGCTGTCTTAAAATGAACAAGCAAAACATCAAAATCCTTTAGCCTAGGCCACAACTCATAGTCAAAAAACCAGTACCTCCAAGGTGATTTGATAAGATCAGATATGTTCAGGATGGTATGGGCCATAGATACCTGAGGGTGATTTGAGATGCACCATTCATCCCCCCACATCTCAGCTCCCCAGGGGTTGAGAATCACCCAAGATGGTGTAGGGTGACAGTCTGGCATTGCCACTGGACAAAGACTTCACTCAGAAGGGACAGAAAACTGGACTCATTGCAGTGTGCCAATTCTGACAAAATTGGTTTCTGCTCGTTTCTCCACAGATGGGGAAACAAGACACACATCTTTGGGTACCTCTCCTTTGGGTAGGAAGACAATATGGTAAAAATATGTTTTTATGAAATTAAACACTCAAAAGCCCAACTTCTATTCAAAATATCAATAACACTTTTGGGCACCTGACAAAAATGGTTTGTGGTGGGATATTTTTAAAGGATTAACAGATGTTTGTCTTCTCCGCACTTCATTTTACTCATGTTGGGAATTGTTATTTACTATCTCATATTCATTCTCCTCCCTTTTTTTCCCTTAAAACCCATCCTGGTATTATTCAGAATAGCAGAAGCTACAATATTTTATTTCCCCTACTCTTTTGCATCTAGGTATGGCTGTGTAAAAATTGAGGCTACTGAGATAGAATGGAAAAAGTATAAACGTTGAACTTTCAGGAAGGCAGCTATATGGGTACTGAATCAGAGACATACTTTTTTCCTTTAAACAATTTTCTCACTTTTTACTTCATGGAATTAGAATTGATGCCTGGAGCTCTAGCAGTCATTTTGAACTGTGTGCCTGGAAGCTATACACTACAAGGGAGTAGAAAAATTATAGACCCAGAAGCTACCAACTAAGACTAGGACCTCATAGCTCCAAGCTTTTTCCATATAAGAAACAAATAAGCCTAGGTTTACTTTGGCCAGTGTTAATTATGCTTTCTGTTACAAATCACTACTTATGTCCCTATTACTCAGTCATTATCCCAGCATCTGGAACCCACGGATAGCTTGCTAAAACTCATAGTGCATCCATGGGCAGAGTCACTATGCTCCCACACTGCTCATGGGGTGAGGTCCTGGGAGGTGGAAGAAGGGCAAGATGTGGGGAGGAAAGAGCAAGTGGAGTTGTGGCAGAGGCTTCCCAGAGGACCTGGAACTAGACAGGGTGGAGGTGGAAGGAAGCAGAAATGGGTCATGAGCAGGAAGTCCTGCCATCTTTGAGTAAAGGATGGGCTAGACAGGACCAGGTGGACACCTTGGCAAAGGGCCTGAGGCAGGTGTGGAGTTTTCCTGCCCACCTGGGGCAGGGTCAAACCCAAATGCACCTGAGCAGACCTAAATAACCTGCAAGAAGTTCAGGTGACCCAAAAGGATGTGAGTGCAAGGAGAAAGGCTGTTGGTTGAGCCTAGAGGCTGACACCTCCCAACGGCTGGAAGAGATGCCTACACCTTGCAGCACTTCTAAGAATATATTGACCTTGCTATGATTTGAATGTGCTTTGTCCCCTCTGAAACTTGTGTTGAAATTTAATACCAGCATGGACTATAGAGGTGGGACAAGGTGGGAACTGTAAGAGGAACTTTCAGAGGGCTCTTCCTTGGGGGCTGATCACTCCATCAATCGCTAATGGTCAGTAAGCACTGAGAATGAGTTTTTTAGAAAAGCCAGTTGGGCTGGGTCTCTGGCAAGCTTCCCGTCTCTCACCACACATTGCCTTGTGCCACTTTAGGAGTCTTTATCACCAGATGCAGCCCCTCCACCTTAGAGCAGAACCCCAAGCCACAATAAACCTTTTTCCTTCCAACTCAGCCAGTGTGTGTGTTGTGTTATGAGCAACAGACAAGGAACTAAGACACTCCCTCAAAGAGAGAGGGATGGAGAAGCAGAGAGCTTACAGTGAAACCCTGGAATTGGCCATGTTTACCCCAAACAATGACCACATCATGAAATGACTAGGAAAATCTAGTCCAGACTGCTGGATGAGGCCACACTGCTGGGTGTGGCAGGTGTACCTCTTTGATCCTCAGGGGAGGGAGGCAGAGCCCACTGAAGAATTGGAAAGGGCTAGGGTGAAGCCTTCATAGGCTCAGCAGAGCTGAAAGAGGAAGGCTGGGCCAGGGGAATATCTACACCACACACTACAGAGTATCACTATCTATAATATACGAGGCCCTACAAATGGATGAGAAAAAATCCTATAAAACATGAACCAAAAAAAAAAAATGGACCAATGGAACATGCTAACAATTGACAGAAACAAAAGCAGCCAATACACAAATAGATTACAAATAAATGAAAAGATACTGAACCTTTTTAGTAGTCAGGACAGTTCTAATTAGAACAAAAACAAGATAACATATTTCTGCCCAAGAGATTGGCAAAAACATTACAAAGGCTCAGCACTGACTTCTGGGAAGAGGTCCTCTCATCCGCTGCTGGTGGGAATTGGCCCCGATGCAACCTCATTTGGATGCAATTTCTCAGTATCTGCTAAAGTAAAATCTGGCCATGCTGTTTGACATAGGGATCTCCCTTTGAGAAGTGATTTTAGAAAGTTAAAGAACAAAGGTTGATTCTTAATGCTCCTATACAAATGTTTAGCAAAACATTTGGGTAGTAGTACAAATACCCTCGAAACAGCAAAGCACTGACCCTATAGCCCAGAGCTCCTTCATCTTGGAGAGAGACAGAGACAGAGAGACAGAGATAGAGAGAGACAGAGACAGAGAGTTCTGGAGCAATGGTGGAACTTGTGCCCTGAGAGATAGGAGACAAAAATCTCACAGGCTCTCATGACACTAGGATCTCAATGGGGAGCCAAGAATGGACTTTACATGCAAGGGGACTCATTGTGGTCCCTGCTGCCCCTGTGTCACCTGCTAGATCTTACAGGTACTTCAGCCCCTGAAAACTGTCCTGTTCCCTGTTGGTTAAGTCAAACCACACCTGAGGCTTCTCATGCCCACGTGTTTGAATACAAGTGGGGCAAGGCAGGGTGCGGAGCATTATTTTTTTCTTTCATTATTGTGCAATAGTTTTTTCCTGGTTTTAGTAACCACATTTCAAAGTGGGGACTTCTGAGATTTCAATAAGAAAATTACAGTACCACAAAAACCAAAGCTTTTTGGTTAAGAAGAGATAGTTGAATACACAAGAAAAAAATAAGACAGGAAAAATTCTCTTTGTTTTCATGATGCTTTGGACATTTTCTCTTATGAATGAATATTAAAATCAGCTGGTCAAAAGGCTGCTTTATAAGGTACAAAATCTAATACATAATACACTTTTATCCAGTTCTGAAAAGAGGGGACTCCCTCAACCTGATCAAACGTATCTGCGGAGCCTGCAGCAGGCATCCCACTTAACAGTAAAACATTTAAATATTCCCATTGAAGCAGGGAGGAAGCCAAGGAGACTGCTATCAAATTATTCCTGGTTTAACATTTTTACTATCTCGTGCTTTCTCCTTGTTCCCATTAACCCCCTATGCCTTTTGTTTGATTCATCAAATTTTCTTTGATCCACTCTTTCCTCAATCTGTTTCAAATTTTACATTCTATTTTGATTCATTTAGTGGTTCTCAGTGAGAACTCATACTTTAAAACTTCTCAGTCATTGCTGTCTCACATCAAGCATTTTTATCGTCTCCAGGAACTAGACAAGAACTCTTAACTTCCAGCCCCCAAGCTTCACACCCCACAGCTGTCTAGGTCAAAGTCTTCGGACTCTATTTCAGAATATTCATCTTTCTTCCACAATCACACTAATTTAGACTTCATAGTACACTTTACTAATTCCCTGGTTCTCCTTGTACCCCACTTGCTTCTCCCAGGTTTCTTGTGCTTGTGTTTTCCTGGCTGAAACACACAATCTGTGCTTTCAGTGCATGTAACAACTTGATTCAAAACAGCTGAATCAGTACTGCGGCATGGAGGTGTCCCTAGAGTTGGGGTATTAGAAACTTGGGCCCCAGTGCAGTAGTATTGAGTGGTGTGCTGGGAGGTGATTGCATTAGGGGAGAAGTGCCTTTAAAAGTGAATTAATCCATTCTCAGATTGATGGGTTTATGTGTTGGCAAGGGAGTGGCTTTGTTGAAGCCAACTCTCCCTGGCCAGGTGGCTCTGGCTGGCATGTGACACTCTGAAACATTTTTTGATAGAGCAGGAAAGCCACACCAGATACCTTGCTCCTGGACTCTCAGAACTGTGAGCCCAGTAAGCTTCTATTCCTTATGAATCACTCAGGCTGTAGAATTCAATGATTACAACAGAAAATGGACTAAGATAATAAGGGGCTTTATTAGCTCATTTATTAAAAGTTATGTGCTATGAAAACTGGGAAAAACTCATGCTTTGGACTCAGGCTTTTTCCTTTTTCCCTTTCTCCAGGTCCTTCCCCTCCTCGCATGGCCTCCATCCTGAGCAGATACTTCTCCCACAAGTCACAGAAGTCTTCATTCAGAGTCAGTCCTCCTCCAGGCTCCGAAACATATTGCCCCATGGCTTCTCAAACTCACCAGTGCTTCCCAGCAAAGTCCAGTGTGAATCTGAGCTTTCCTTGGGACTCGTCTCTCAGGCAGCCTTTGGAAATTTCTTGCCATATTTCCGAATTTGCGTTATTCTCATATCCTGCTCATGATGTGTGTCTTTCTTCACTTGGGGGGAATTAGTGGCTATGAGTTCTTCACACATTGCTCTCATCCAAATGTTCCAATTCTCCTGTGTTAGCTAGTCCTATTTCCAAAGCTGCTCGGAGCAGAACTCATCTGTCACACCTTTTGCTACATTTCAGGGCCTCCTTCTGGCCAAACATCCATTTTACTGATTTGTCCCTCAGCCTCATTCATTCTGTGACTCGAACCATCCACATAATTGTGTTCTAACAACCTTGCTCCTCATTTCTAGTCTATCGGTGTAAATGGCTTTTTATGTAGGCACATGCTATCATTTCAGGGATAGAGCATCATTCTATTTCTCTCTGAAGGTATTAATTATTCTCTTATAAAAGTATTTTCCTGAATATTCTATTAGGTTTATTTCCTTGGATATCACTTTTTCCTTTTTTCTCTCTCTCTTGGTGTTGTCTTTTCGAAAAATGTTTGGTGGGTGTACATCTTGGGAAGGAAAAACATGGCTCAGGAGAGGACAAGGAGAGACTGCTGATTTATTTTAAAAGCACCAAGGAACTAAATATATGTGTGCATAGATAAAACAGCCAGGAGGGGCTTTGGGAGCAGATGGCAGGCGCTGTCGGGATCCCTGAGGAGGGTTTGGAGCTGCAGCAGGAAGGTACTGATTTGTACGGGCAAGGAGGCACAGGGCAGAAATGGGGCCTCGGTTTGGGGCGAGAAGAGAGCAGCATTGTGCCAAGTCCAAAGCAGGAGGGAAGGACCCTGGAGCAGGTGACAGGTCAGCGTGCGATATTGGTGAAAAACACAGGGAATCCAAACACATGGGTGCCGAAGGAGGTCTCTATGAAGCGCAGTGAGGAGCCGGGCAGAGGGATGAAGCCTATGCAGGGATAGATGGCCGAAATCTGTTGTCCCATGATGGCCCAGTACCCTGAGACAGGGGGTGGGTCCTGTATTGCCCCCACTTGTTGGTTTGAAAGAGATATGTGGCCTGGCACTCTGTCTTCGTGGACTGTAGGTGCTGCCATGGAGAAGGGTGGGGTCCACCTGGCTTCTGGGTGGCCTAGCTCACCGTGAACGTCCACCTGTCCATATGTGTCTGGTTCCTGAGAATGTTCTAAATGCTCCCAGTAGCCCATCTCCAGGTGGCTGTGTCTTTCTGCCCACTGACTCTGTCTCGGTGTGTGAGCTCTCTCTGCTTGTTGGGGTCTTCTCAGGAGGTGGCTTCTTTCTGCAGGTCTGGCTGGCTCTGTGTGGACAGGGGCGTCACATCTCATGGGGTTCACAAAAGCAATGGGTATCACAGGTTGGCCTGATTTCGAGGGGCCATCTGCTTCACGTGGGTCTTCAGGTTCCATGTCATGGTGGTCTGGACCTCTGGGATCCCCATTTGAGGCTAGAGAGAAGAACAGAGGGTGAGAAGAGAGGCTTGTCCCAGAAGCCCCAGAGGAAGGCAGAGCAGGAGCAGGGTGAGGGAATGGCCCAGGGTCCTCTGTCAGCAGAAAAGGGGCAGAAGCAGGACACTTAAAGTGATCCCAGGGTCCTGTCTGCCGGGAACCCTTCTGAACAGCACTTCCCATCAGCCAGCTAGTGCTTCATCTGTAACAGCAACCTTGTCCTGTGGGTAGTCCAGTCCTCACAGTAATTATGAGTAAATCAAGGCAGAAGTTGGCTAGAGATTGAGTTAGAATAATGATGTGGTGTTTCTGCCTTCTTGAATTTACACATCAGCAGGAGAAAATCCACAATGATGCCAGTGGGTAGTGGTAGGTCAAGGGGTGCCATGCTGCAGCAGCACTGTGTCTACCCTGGGAATACTTGGACTTTCTGCTTCGAGGGTCTGTGCCTTGGGCTTCTTTTCTATGAATTGATACCATGACATGCAACTCTGATAAATCACCATAAATCATTGATGCAAGCAAAGAGCTTAGACCAGGGCTGAGCTCAAGGAAGCCTCCTAACCCATATGCACAGGAGGGAACCCGAGCATGGTGGGAGGAGTAAGCATCAGCTGGAACTTCAAGGGAAACTGCATTCTTCCAGAATGCAAGAAGCCTGAAGTGATGGGGGGGGGGCGCTCATAAAGAAGCCTTTGGACTGGTTCTGATTTGCCCTGTGGTAGGAGAAGCCACTGAGATTTTGACAGAGACTGCAAGGCCACCACCAGTTGGGCTTTGCTAAGTAGATGTGAGAACCTGAGGGCAGCAAGCAGTGGGCATGCTTGGAGGCCGGGAGAGCGGGAAGACTGTATTTGGGAGAGACTAGAGGAAGTTAAGGAAAGGCAATGAGAGCAGAGATAGCCCCATCCTGGACGGGAGGTGACAGTGCAGTGGGACTCCACTGCCTCCACAGTGGGCAGGAAGACCCAGGGAGCTGTAGCCATACAGGGATGGGGTAAGATTTTCACCAGCAGGTCAGGGAGCCATCTTGGGGAGACCACAGGAAGACTCAGGAGAAATTAAGAAAGTCAAGTAGATCTATTACAGCGGAACAAACTGAGAGCATTGCCATGCACACTTTCTGTTCAATCATTACCCAAAAAATCAGACCAGGGGAGACCATCTCAGGAGCAAGCTTCTCCCCAGCTCCTGACTAGGAAAATGCAAACTCATATGGATTCTTTTATTTATTTATTTTGAGGCAGGGTCTCAATACGTAGTTCAGGCTGGGCTTGAACTCACTGTATAGCCCAGGCTAACCTTGAACTCCTTGCAATCCTCCTGCCTCAGGTTCTCTAGTGCTAGGAGTGTGGGCATACACCGTATCTGGTTTGTATGAATTCTTAATCCACAACCTAGTCAGTCTCACCAGTATCAGAAGATGAGGTTGGAACCCCGTAAGTGCTCTGTGGTGGCCTAATGCTTTGTGATATATTAAAGTCCTACAGCAGGCTTCTTACCACTGCAATCAGGGGATGGCAGAAAGAGAAAGGGGACAGGAAGCATCCCTGTTCTTTGAGTTGCAAAGAGCCTTAGAACTCAGGAAAGATACCATACATGAAAACATTTGAGGATTGGAAGCCTCAAAAATCACTCCTGCAAGACCCAGGACAAAAAAAGACTATACTTTTATTTCAACAGTTACAATGACTCATGTGACCTTCACAGCCATGTACATCTGCCCTTCCTAACGCCATCTCCAGCTCACAGTGGCTGTGGAGCCATGGGGAATGGCATGGGTAAGTACAAGGCTGGTCTTTGAGGGGCCTTGCAGCAGGGTTTAGAAGGTTCAGACTGACCTGCACATGCTGAGCATCATGCACCGGCACAAACAAAAGTCAATAGAGACAGTGCAGTGAAATTGGTACAGAACTTCACAGCAGGATACCGGGATAACAGGAATAAGTACTATAGTATATCTGGAGGTGGCTATGTAGACCAAGGACTGGAGCGTTCTTCCCAACTGCATGATGCTATATAAATCACCTTACCTTTTCTTGGCCTAGACATAACTCCAGGAGTTGGCAACGGGGAGAATGCCTTTAAATGATGAAGAAAACCTGAACTGATAAACCCCAGAAATGCAAAGAGCATTTAAACCGCAATAAAATAAAACCAGGTGTGATGGCGCATGCCTATAATCCAGCACTCCAGAGGTTGAGGCAGGAGAGTAACTGCAAGTTCAAGGCCACCCTGAATTCAATTTCAGCCTGGACTGTAAAGACCTGTCTCAAAAAACAAAGCTACAACAACAACAATATCACAAGATTAGAAAAACCAACAGAAGAAAATAAGAAATAATCACAAGCAGTCCACAACAGGAAAACCAAAGTGTCCACCTGTACCTAAGATGATTAAATTCACATATGATAATTCAAATTAAAACACTGGGACACTGTTATATATCTAATCAAACTAACAAAGATTAAAAGATCGAGAACATTCAGTGTATGATGGAAAATGTTTCAGAGAACAATTTGGCAGTGACTGCCAAATTTTAATACCAAAGTGAGGGTACCTGGTTTATCATAGATCAAAAAGTAGTATGTAGCTCTAGTACTGGAGACAGTTAGTGTTTGTACAGAGACAAATGAAGCTCAGACCCAGATACACATCTATGGAAATTTTATCAATGAAAGCTAGAATTTATCACCTACAGACTCTTCTCTTGGAAACATGTTGTCTAAGACCCCTAAGAAACTGGCACTTGGTGCTCCTTCACTTGATGGCCGAAACTGTATAAATTCTGTGAAAGCCACAGCCAATAAGCCCCACGCACGAGCTCAGAACCCCCATATGGCATCCCCAGAACTCCGGCAACATCAGAGGAAATACAACACAAGAGACGGAATCCAGTCAGCCAGTTTGGAGGAAACCATTCATGCCACTGATGAAATCCCCAAAACTATAATTAATATCTACAGAGAGATAAGAGAATAAATTATACCCATAAATCAATTATAGGATACTTTCTTTTAACAAGACAATTCAGAAATAAAGCCTTTTGAAATTATAAATATCAAAGCAGAAGAAAAATAGTCCCTGGAAGTCTTAGAGACTAAAGTTGAGGAAATCTTCCAGAAATGAGAGCAAAAACCCAAAATGATGAAAAAGAAGAGAATGAAATATAAGAAAACTACAGGTGCATTATCACCAAGGGGTGTTACTATAAAATTTCAGAGTACTGGTCACAAAGGGAAGAGCTTCCAAACTCTTTGGAAACTCAAAAGTTTTCAAAGACACAGAGAGACATAGAAAAGTGAGAGGGAAAAGAGGAGGAGGAGGGAACAGGAGAGAAGGAGGAGACAGGAGAGGGAGAGGGAAACAGAGAGATCTAGAAAGGATGAGAATCAAGAATGTCTCAGGTCTGAGCATCTCTTGGGAGGATGACTGTATGCAATATAGCAAATATGGGGGATTTCTTTCTATTTCCTGCTTGAAGGCAAATGTTTTCACTGTTTTGTTTTGTTCTGATTGTTTTGCTCTTTCAGTATTCTATTTTGATAGGTTTTCTAGCATTGCTTTTGGTTTGATTTTGTTATCCTTGATTGAAAGGACAACTATTGTGAACATAATGAGGTATACTACGATATCTATTACTCTTATCCTGGTATCCTGCTATGAAGTTCTGTAACAATTTCACTGCATTGTCTCTTTTGGCTTTGTTCTGTCTTATTCTGTCGTATTTTACTACCCTCAAAATAAAAAAATAAAAGAATGTCTCATAAATCAGACATCTCAGGCCAGGTGTGATGGCACGGGCCTGTTAATCCCAGCACCTGGGAGGCCAAAGCAAGAGGATCCTGTGAGTTCAAGGCCAGCCTACACTATGTAGTGAGACCCTGTCTCAAAACAAAATCAGACATCTCAAAAGCAACATTAGAATCTGAAACACGGACAATGTCTTCAAATTTTTTAGGGAAATAGATTCCCCAAATAAATGTTGATACCCAAATAGCATTTAGGAAACTAGAATGAAGGCATTTTTAGACATGCAAGCACTTAAATCATTTATTTTTAATGTATGTCTTGTTGGGAGATCATTGGAAGACTTTCTCCAAAGAAAAAGTAAACAAGAAAAAGAAACTCAAAATAGGAAATGGGCTAAAATTCCAAAGCAGAGGCTAAGGACCTCCCCCCACCCCAGACAATGAAAAAGGGGTGACCTCTGAGGACTCAGGGTGAGGGAATGGGCTCTGAGAAGGTGAAACCAATGAGTGCTTGGGTTTGAATTTAAGTAACTGGGAAAGAATTTTAGAATGATTTTGAGAAAAGCAAGCAAAGAATAACCCAAATTGATATCAAGTCCTGGGAAATTTAAGTTATTCAAGAGGGGGAAAGTGACCCTAGGCCTCTGCAGGGCTCCATTTTGAATAGAACCTGGAGGCCATGGGGGTGAAAGGTGTGTGGGAGCTGGGTGTGTGGGAAGAGTAGTGTTGTTGACCATTATGGGAATGTGTGGACTAGAGCTGAATACTCCTCCTACCCTAGAGTGGACATACATAAAATCTAAGATGGAGAAAAATAATAGTATACTGGGCAGCTGTAAAGAGCCTGTCTACACACATGCCCGAGGCTGCCTCGAAGGTGGGGGAAGTTAAGAGGGGGCAGAAATGCTGTGCTTCACAATACACTACACATGGATTTGTAAGTTCATACCAAAAGTACGGTAAAACCAGGGAAGACATTTAAGAAGAAGGTATGCGACAGTACCTTGATCAGGAGCCACTGTGCAAGGCGGCTTCAGAGGCCTTTCTTTCTCCATGGGTAACCTGTGGGATAGACCAGGTGAGAGAGCTGAGTCCTGAGGCCAAGGCCGCACCTTGTTCCCCAAGGTTAACACACTCCTGGGCCCCGCCAGCTCCCTGGGCACCTCGGCAGCTGCCCAGGCCTGAACACAGTTAAGCACAGGGGTGGACAGGGGCAGTTTTCCAGGGAGTGCCAGCTTCCAGTCTGGAAAGATAGGAGGATAGGTGCCTAATTTGTCCCAGTTTCTATAAGAAAAGGGGGCAGGGATGTGAGATCAACCTTGGCCAAATGAAAAAACAATTCCTCCAAGAAGGGAAAATGGGAGAAAGGGAATAAGGTTGGGGAGCAGTGTCCCAGCCCTTCTACGGCATTGAGGAATTTGTACCTCCCCTGACAGTATGGCTCTACCTCTGCCCCGAGGCCGTACCTAACTCCTGGTGGTAGATTTGAGGCTGACTCTGAAAGTCTGAAAACCAGAGCACGTCCAGGTGATCCTTCCAGAAAAGAGGGCCTAGATGTTGGAAATCTGGGGAAGTCAGCAGGGTCGAGGATGTAGCACTGACACCAAGCCACAGGAAGGAGACTAAAGAGCCCTCTCCCCTGGACCTCTGCAGATACTGAGCTGTTCAGGGCAGAGCCCAGAACCTTTTATACAACGGTACCTACCCCCTCAGCACGTGATTGGATAAAATGGGCAGAACTCGTGTGGGCGGGACATGGGCGGGTGGGGCCTAGATGATCATTGGGCTGGACATCTGCTTGTCAAATGGGTGCACAGGTGAGGCCGCTCAAGAGTGTAAGTGCTTGGTTGATTGATGCAAGCATCTTAAAATGTAGAGTGATTACAGAGTTAAGGGCTGGTGAAACAGAGGGAGAGAGACGTATGGTATCCTGAAAGTGGCCAAAAGAAGGATTTCATTAAGTCTGTGAGGGCCCAAGGGAGAACTATTTGGGTTGAAATGGCAAGAATTAATCCGGAAGACCGGGTTGGGAGGGGTGGGTGGATAGGAAGGCCCGTGAGCTGGCCCAGACCCAGACTGAGGTGGGTCCTATCCAAGAGGCAGAAAGGCCAGCACCAGGCCAAGGGTGATGTGGGTGGGCTAGAGGAGCCCTGGAAATTGGGCAGTGCTCCAAGGGCAGTGTGAAAACAGGAAAAGGAATCAGGCTTTGGGCAAGGATATGGTGGGGTTAATATTAGAAGATCATTCTCCCAGCTTTGAATAGCGTGCCCAGGTCAGCTTTGGTTGGACCTGGCACCTTAGAGACTAGGGCAGTCACCAACAGAAAAGAGACATTTTCCATGATCAGACACAAATGCTCAGGAGAAAGTGAACCACAGCTGGTCATGATGTAGACCCATGCTTGGAAAGGAAGAGTAAACTTTGTGCAAAATTGGTGGCACCACCCTGGCATGGTGGTGCATGCCTGTAATCCCAGCACTCAGGAGGCTGAGGCAGGAGAATCGATGGAGAGTTCTTCAAGGCCCTCTGGGACCACACAGTGCTTGCAAGGACTACATAGCGAGACCCTGTCTCAAAAAACCAAAAAGTTGGTGGCACCATTTATTAAGATCCAGGGTGGGCCAAGCCTCTGCTGCAGGGAAGACTGTGGCCTTGGGTTGCACATGACAGGCTGAAGGGGTTTCTGAGCATCAGAGTGAGGGTGTGCAGTGGCATTTAGTATGAGGGGTCTGAAGGACAGAAAGATGGAGAGAGGGCAGCAGGTGCCAGGTGGGACACCAGTCACGGATTTGAAGCTATGGGGAAAGACCAGGGAGGAGCTGGGGGAAGAGCTTGCTTATCCTGGGGAAGGCCCTGTTGAATCTCCAGTATCATACAAAATTAATTAATTAATTAATTAATTAATACTTTTTAAAAAGCTGTAGAAATGCTTCAGAAATGCTCCTCAGAATATAAATGATATAATTCCAGTTAGACATTCAGCTTTATATTTTTCTCTATAAAAAAATTAAATGGTCTTTAGGGCCAGATGTGGCGGCAAACATCTGTGAGCCCAGCATTTGAAAGGGTGTGGCAGGATGATCCCTGCAAATTAGAAGGATCCCTGCAAGTTAGGAGGTTGCTTCGTGTTCGAGGCTACCCTGGGCTACAAAGTGAGTGCAAGGCTGGCCTGAACTGCATAGCAAAACCTGTGTCAAAACATACACACAAACAAAGCAAATTACTTTACTGAGATATATCATCTATTCTTAATAACAGTCATCAGTTTTAAGTACACTGTTCAATGAGTTATGCTAAGAACACATAGCTGGGTAACCGCCCTAACGAAGATGGGGAACGATGTCATCAAATCAGAGAGCTCCCCTCAGGCTATTTGCAGTCTTGCACTCCCCCTCTCCAACCTCAGGCAACACTGGTTAGAATTCATCACTCCAGGTTGTGTGTGCCTGTTTTGGAGAATTTCAGATAAATGGAATCACATGATGCGCACTATTTTGTGTTGGGTTTCTTTTTTACTCAAATAACGTTGAGCTTCAACCCATGTTGTAGAAGCTTTCAGCAAACCCTTTCTGTTTGTTGCTGAATGTACTGCAGTATGTTTATCTACTCACTAGTTGATGGACATTTGGGTTGTTTCCAGTTTGGGGACATTGTGAATAAATATGCAGTAAATAATTGCATACAAAAAAAAGGCAGTAGTTTACAAGTTTTAATTAGACCCATTTTCATTTTATTTGCATAAATAGTTACAAATAGAATTTCTGGGTGAAATATTAAGTATTTTTTAACTTTATAAAATACTACCACATTGTTTTCCAAAGTGGTCGTGTGATTTTACATTCTCTCCAGCTATAACATGGTCTAGTTGTCCCAAACTTTATCAACACTTGCCTACCCTTTTCAGCGATTCTGATGTCTACCACGAGACACTTCTTTGTGGCTTAAGATTGCATTCCCTCAGTGATTAATGATGTGTCTGTTTTTTAAAATAGTTTTTTTTAATTTTAGAATCCTTTTAGCTCACAGAACACAGTACAGTTTGCATACCTCACACTTAGCTTACTTCGTTATTAACATCTGACATTAAGTGGTACATTCGTCATAATTAACAAATCAGTACGGATATATTACTGAGATCTAAAGTCCATTTGGCTTTCCTCTGTTTTTATGTAATGTACTTTTTCTGGCCCAGGATCCCTTCCAGCACACCACAGGGCAATTAGTCATCACTGCTCCTGCCTGTGACAGTTTCTCGGACTTTATTGTTCTTGATGACCTTGTTAATTTTGAGTACTGGTTACATGTACAGTACGATGTCCTCTGCTGGAATTCATCTGATGTTTTTCTCACGATTAGACTGTGACTATATATTTTGGGAGGAAGACCACAGAGGGAAAATGCCATTCTTATCTCCTTCTAAATGACACAAGGACACCTATTGTCCACACACTCCTGCTATGGCCTTCATCACCCAGCTGAGTATCTCATAGGATTTTCATCCATAAAGTTACCCTTTCCTTCCTTCCTAGTTTTTGCAAACCACTGTATGCACTCCATACACAAGAGAAAAGCATTGGGCTTTGTCTCCTTGCAGGAAAGGGCCCACTACGTTATTTGGAATTCTTCTATATGGAACACGTCTGTTTGTTACCATGTAGTCACATATTCAATCATTTATTTCCATTGGTAGACACTCATGGATTCTCATTATTTTCCCAATATTTAATTGTGTTCACTGTTTAATTATTCAGTTATTTTGTTAAATATGTAATTATTAATTACCTAGTTATTTGATTGCTCAGAGATTCCAGGACTGATTGTTGGGAACTCAGTCAGCTGGCACCTGGGTCCTTTTGACTCACCCCATCTTTGTGGCTTTTGTTTTGCTTTGTTCAGAGATCTCCTTATTTTCCCACATCACAGGACAGTCCAGACTCATTTAGCTGATTCTCCATCCTTGTTGGATTTTCATGTGCTCACTAATCATAACTACATATCCTTTTACATATCCTTAACTACAAGTGTATCTTCAAAACTTTCATCATTTTATTACTGGGCTGGGGCTCTGTTTCTGAGTTGTAAAAGTGCTTTCTATAATGTGGATACAAGTCCTTAGTGGATATATGTACTGTATCTTGAATTTTCTTAACAATACCATTCAAGAAACAAAAAAAAAATTTTTTTTAGAGAAAAGGTCTTACTGTGTAGTTCAGGCTGGCCTTGAAATCACAGTGGAGCTCAGGTTGGCCTTGAATTCCTGGTGATCCTCCTCCCTGAGCCTCCAAGTGCTGAGATTACGGTGTGCACCACCATGCCTGGCTCAGAAGATTTTAACCTTACTGAAGCCTTATGCTTCAGGTTGGAATTTGCAGGAAGCCAATTCTGAGCTGGAAGTTGAGTTAGGGTGGGTTTTGGGGGTGTGGGAGGGAAAGAGGCAGGGCAGGGCAGTCTCAAAGGACCATGTTTTATTTTGTGAAACTAGATGAAGTGGTTTAAAATTTATTTAAAGACTTAAGTTGAGTTTTTTAAAAACCATGAAAATTCTGAAAAAGAACAATAGTGATTTTAAATTTTTCCAGCAATCAAAATAGTACAATATTGGCAAATGAAAAGGTGAAATAGTAGATGAAATAGATCAGAAGTCTCTAACAGCTACCAATGATGACTGACACTGAGCACGTTCAACGTACTCAGACATCGTATTCAGTGCTTTTCACATATTCATGCATTCAACTTGCACAACAACAGTGATAGGTACTTATTATTACTATGCTCACTCTATAGATGAAGAAACTGAGCCACTGGGTGACTAAGTAGCGTATCCTAGGTCTGATCACCAGATAGGATGTTGGAGAGAGATCGAAGGCCCATGATCTCCTTCAAGGGTCAAGTCCCAGTGACCGGGGACTTGCCTCCAGACTCCAGCTCCCAGAGGCCCCAGCATCTCTCAGTAGCACTAACTCAGGGAGCAAACCCTCAACTGCAGTGGATCCTTGGGGCACATAAACAATTAACACCTAAACCTTAGCGAATGTGGGTCTCCATTGTTCAGACAGATAAATGAGGGCTCAGAGTTGTTAGGTGATTTGTGCAAGGTCACCATTTGGAAATGGTGGAATTTGCCACCCTAGCAAAGCCACTCTAGTGTCTACATACTTAACTCCTAACCTATGGTACCTCCCTAAGTGATGATGATAAATTTGCTTTTAAAAGAAAACAATACAAAACTTTTTCTGTGCGTCTTATTGAGGCAACTAAAAAGTCCAAAACAATTTCCAGTACAAACTTCCTGTGGGATGGAAAGTTGACCCTCCACTGATATCTAGGTCCTGCTTTATATTCCCAGCTTCATCTGCAGACTGGGACCATGGGACTAGATCTGGACAATGAAAGGGGAATGAGAGAGAAACAAAGACTATGTGTTTCAGGAGCTCAGAGGCTCACACTGAACTCACTTGAAAGAGAAATAATTAAACCGTGACTGGGGAGAGCCACCGAGACGGGGAGGGGGCACTCTTTTATCGTGCTACTTACCTTAGTACACTTCCTTCTCATCATTTCCCGTCTCAGCTTTTATCTGCTACTTAACAGATAAAATAGAAACTATTAGATGACGATCCCAGTGACAACTGCGAAGACTCATCTATTTCTGCATACATCTTTTCTTTTT